TGCATGCACACTATTTACAAATAACCGACTCTGGCAAGTATTCACCTTCTCCAGCTGACAAGCGGCACTCAGCTGTGCCTTGCAAAGCAGCTGAAGAGGAAAAAAAGCAGGGAATAAAGCACAGCCTAGAGCCCGGGTGGGCAGGTGGGCCAAACAGAAGACCAGAAGATTGTTGCAGCGAACCAGTTCAGTGTCAGCTGCTTTTCGGAGCTACTGGTTCTATAGAACTGGGCCAAGCTGGTAGAATCCCACCCCTGTCCAAACCCCTGCAGGAGACCCTGTAAAAATGGCTGTCCAGTCTCTAAAAAACCTCCAGTGATGGAGCACCCACAACTTCTGAAGGCAAACCATTCCACTTCTTTATTGTTCTAACTGTTAGGAAATTTATCCTTATTTCTACGTTGGATCTCTTCTTGATAAGTTTCCATCCATTGCTTCTTGTCCTGCATTCAGGTGCTTTGGGAATGGGTTGACTCCCTCTTCTTTGTGGCAGCCCCTGAGATATTGGAACACTGCTATTGTGTCAACCCTAGTCCTTCTTTTCATTAAACTAGACATACCCAATTCCAGCAAGTGTTCTTTATATGTTTTAGCCTCCAGTCCCCTAATGATCTTTGTTGCTCTTTTTCTAGAGTATTTTTTTATATTGTGACAACTAAAACTGAACGAAATATTCCAAGTGTGGTCTTATGTCACACCACATGCTATATTTTGAATGAAATACTTGAATTATGAAATATGTTTTTGAGTTTTAGTACATTTTAATGTATTTCATTTGTTATCTAAATGTTGAATAGATGGAATGAGATATAGGCCGGTGCAAGACACTTTTCAAATCAGCATAACTTTGCAAATCTCAAATGCAAATCTCTAAAATAAATGCCTTATTTTAGAACTTGTTTTCTAGAAAGGCCAAGGCAGTCTGAAGTACTAATGATTTATTATTAGAGATTTGTCTAAAAACAGGTTTCTGCAATATTTATATTTGGAATACAGAATTTTCCAGAAGTGTATAATGATACTACACCATAGTAATAATAAGTTCAGATCATTTATTTCCAATGAAGAGCAAAAGTGTTAAACTTTTTATTTTATGGACTATACTTGGACTTTGACTAGCAAGCCAGGGAACATACTCCAATAAATTGATTTTTGTGTGCGCGCGTGCTTGCACACTTTTGAGTCAGTGTTGGGTGGACAAATTTCTGCTGTTTACTTGGCTAGGTTTTGGAAGTGCTTTGTCATTGCCTTCTTTCTAGGGCTCGGGGAAAGTGACTAGATCAGAAACAAAAATGTTGGACAGGACAAAGGCTAAGCATGATTTTATCCAATTAATTTAAAAATTATTTACATTAATTAAATTCAGGTAATATGAGTATAGTATTTCTTGTATATTCTATTATTATAATTTCTGCTATATTAAAATAATAAATTGAGAGCAATTTTTGAAAGAACTCTATGGAGAATTTCACATCCAAGGCTCTTGTGGGTACTGTTTATGTATGTGTAGCTTAGACAACTGTCTTCTATAATATGTTGACTTGTTAAAACAGTTAGATTTCATCAGCATGCTGAAAATATAATTGCACACTCTGGGGATATTTTGAGTGGCTTGTTATAGTATAGCTTTTCAGTATATAGGACAAAGATTTTTTTAAAGAGTCATAAAAATGCAGAGTATATAGAAAAGTGTGGTGGAAACTCCAGCTAGACTGAAGGCAGGTTAAGAGGGGGCTGAGCTTAGAATCCTTGCATTGCAGGAATTGGTTATTGAATATCTTCAAAGCGTAAGATTTTTGAAAGGATTGAGATTGGAAGCCTGGTTACTGAAAAACCTGTTTTTAGAATACATATGTAAAAGTGATGATGCTCTATGGGTTTTAGCTTTACTTTTTGTTTCTAGTAATTAGTACCAAAAAAGATTTTAGCTAGGAATTGACATGTATACCCTGCAGTAGTGCAGTGGTTAGAGTGTACCGCTGCAGGCTACTTCTGCTGATCACCGGCTGCCAGCAGTTTGGCAGTTTGGGTCTCACCAGGCTCAAGGTTGACTGAGCCTTCCGTCCTTCCGAGGTCGGTAAAATGAGGACTCAGATTGTTAGGGGCAATATGCTGAACCACTTAGAGAGGGCTGTAAAGCACTCTGAAGCGGTATATAACTCTAAGTGCTATTGCTATGTATACACTTTTTCCTAATTCCACCGAATAAAAAATGTTTTATTACTTGATGACTAAAGCATTGTCATTCCGCAGATAATGCTTCCTATAATGCATTACCCATAATATTTTTCACTGGGATTGTGTACATATTCATTTGTGAGACTCCGGATTATTGAGGAAGTTCCATTGACTAAGGAATGATTCATGAATATAAATAACCTATTTGAATGCTTTTCTTGAACATCTGAATATTGCTTTTCAGAATATTTGAATGTTATTATTTATTATTATTAATTATTATCATTCAATAATCCTGAATAATATAGCACCATTTGTATGATTTTTCAGGTTTATGTTCTGCACAAAATATTCCGGATAAGAAACCTATATAAAAAAAACCAATCAATTTCAACCAATTAATCTCAGCTACAAATTGGAAATTACTATGCTTTAAAGCAGAAGCAGCATGGAAGAAAAATCTGATTTATTTCAACAGTAACAAAGATAAAAAGCTATTCTGTCAAAATAAGATCATCAGAAAAAAAATTCAAAATCCATTGGATTTCAGAATTCCGGAGAACCTAAGCACTGCTTTGTGGCAGTTTGCTCCTAATTATTACTATAGAATAAAGCAGGGGTGTCCAACCTTGGCAACTTTAAGACTTTGCTGGCTGAGGAATTCTGGGAGTTGAAGTCCACAAGTCTTAAAGTTGCCAAGGTTGGACACCCCTGGAATAAAGGAAGGAAAGCATACACAGATAGTTCTTGGTTAATGATAGAAATTGGGGCACAAATTTCCGCCACTAAGTGACGTGGTCATAATGTGTGATGTCACTTGAATCGATCACTTAGTGATGGCAATCATATGATGCGAGATGCAAATCTTTGTTGCTGTTGTTAACTGAATCCCATTAGTTGTTAGGTAGGACCTATCCTTAGCCAAGCCATTACTGGCTTGGCCTCCTCCAGCCCGAACCCTGGTTAAGAGGTAAGGAACTGCCTGCTCTTGAACTCCTCTCGCCTGCCTATTTCCCCCACCATCTGTCCGTTTGGCCTTCCATTTACCTGCTATCCCCAACACCCAGCTCTGCCCATCACACTTAGTGCCACTATTGTGAATCAGCCAGGGGGCCTGTTTATGCACCATTCAGGCCTCTTGTTTGTGTTCCACCCAGGGTCGTCTTTCACTCAAAAAAAAAAAAAAACCCTAGTATGTGAAATAAGGATTTAGGGGTGCTGGCATAAAACAAGGAGCTGGTGAGAACAGAGATAGTGAATACTGGAATACCAAAGAATATCCTGGGCAGAGCACAGAAGATGCCCTGCCTGCACCATCATGAAAGAAGTCCCCAGCCAGCACAGTAGTTGTGTGTTACGTGGTGGGCATAAGTGGAGATGGGCAAGTCTGGGTGGTAAGGGAAGTTGGCCACAATAGGAGGCAGCCAGCCAAAGGGTGGTCATAAATGCAGGTGGGTCTACAAGTGGGCTTGAACTTTGTTCATGTGACATAGGCATGCTGCAACAGCCAGAATATTGAATGGTTGGTGAACAAATGGATGTTCAAGAAGACTATTCTGTTTTTTGTCAATTTGAATGCAATGTGAATCTCACGCAATGTGAGATTGCTACTTATCCTGGATAAGTATATCATTATATTTAATTATACTGTATAAATATAACATATTTAAAACAGGCCAGTGTATGTATAGTATATATAAAGTACACACACACACACACACACACACACACACACAAACACAAAGCATGTGATTCTTCCTTTTCTTTTGCTCCTGGTTCTGTGTCCTGTTCTAAACATTATTGTGCAGTATTTTTTTCCATTTCCTTACATTTTTGTCTGCTTGTCAGGATTACAGTTTAAAAGTGTTAGTTAAGCATATTTTTTGTGTGTTTAAAATGTAAAATTGGTTCTTGGGTTCAAAATAAAACACAGCGTGAAAGCACAGGTGGAAGGGTTTTGTTCAGTGGTGGGATTCAATTTTTTTTTTACTACCGGTTCTGTGGGCGTGGCTTGGTGGTCATGGCAGGGGAAGGATACTGTAAAATCTCCAGTCAGAGGTGTGGTATTTGCCAGTTCTCCGAACTACTCAAAATTTCCACTACCGGTTCTCCAGAGCTGGTCAGAACCTACTGAATACCACTTCTGGTTTTGTTCCCCCCCTCCCAAATCTTGGTGTGTTCCATATCTAGTAACTCCAGTTTCTTGTTCTGGTTATAAAGGAAACTGTTACGAATTCATCTCAGGAATCATGGTGTGTTGAAAGAGCAAACTGCAGTTTAATAATTTAATGCATATTACATCCAAACCAAGCTTAAGCAGCATTTACAACATATACCATGCTTCAACATTTTTGAATGTAAGAAATTTTAAAGATAAACATAACCTTTCCCAGCTAGAGGCACTAGGTCATAGTGACAAATGGGAGAGATATCTTTCCGAGCCACTAGGCATGAACTATGAAAAACACCTAAGAAATGAGCAGAACTGACAACAGTGGGAACCTGGGAGGGCAGCTTTTCTGTGATGGTTAATTCCACAACATCCCCTGGCCTATTAATAATGACACTAATTCACTTCTGAAGCTCAAGTCATCTACATAGCAACAAGAAAAACCAAAGGCTGGATGAGAAAAGCAAAAGAGAAACCCTGCAAATGTATATCTAAAAGGCAACTATAATTACACAGTGGTGTGCACTGGTATAATTGATGGACAATGTACAAAACCTTTTAAAGTACTGATGGAAAAGATTTTTTAAAATAGTTTTAAAACAAATTAATTCAGTATAAATGTATGACTTTTGGGGGGTGTGGTGTCTTTCAGGTGAAGCCAGTTACCCACAGCAGAATTAATGTATCTGCACGCTTTCGAAAACCACTTCAGGAGCCATGCACTATATTGTAAGTATTTAGTTATTTATATCATTTATACTCTTCCTTTAGCCAGAGAGTCTCTCCGTGTCATGTACAGATTAATAAAAAAGAGTTCCTACCCTGCAGTTTACAGCCTAAAAAGACATAATAAAAAAGGAAAAGGTAGTAGAGTATAAAAAGGAAGTAAAGATTATTCAGATGACCATTCTTAACATGTAAGTAGAATGCTTTTTTCTTTCCTTCACCTGGTGAAATGACCATTAAGTGATCACTGGGGTGTGTGACTAAATCTAAAAATAATTGACATACCAGTCAGCCTTGCTTGTTTTCTAATAAGCGTACTTATTGCTGAATATTCAGCTAATTGTTAATTTTCTGTAATTTTTTTTAGCCTGGTTGCTAATGGTGATCTTGTAAGCCCAGCAGTGCGTCTTTTCATCCCAAGGAAAGCACTAAACCAGTGGGATCGGGTTCTTGAGATGGTTACTGAGAAAGTTACACTCAGAAGTGGAGCTGTACACAGGTAAGATGAAATTGCCTAACAGATACTGTTGTTCTTTCAGATGACTTCCACTGAACTGTTACTCACCAGGAACAGCTTCTAATGTGAATGTGCTGTAGAATTTTATATTTCCAACTGATTCTTTATCACCTTTATTACTTGACAGTAATAAGTTCATGGAGCTTCTGTATGTGCATTTTCAGTATTCATTTGTTTGACAGTTGTTGCCTGGATTTCTACTGGCAAGAAGAATCCTGTAAGTAATTTTCCATCAAGAGAAAATCCATAGGCTTTATGGACATAAAGTATTTTCTGATTACAAAGGAATGGTTGACGCTAAACATATTTCAGAAGTAAGTTTTGGTAGAGATTGTATTATGAAGACAAGTCTTTGCATCAGAATGAGACAACTCACTGTGGCCGACTCGCCCCGGCCAATTCACTGCAGACTACATGCCATGGAACAATCCAACATGGGATAACTCAAGTAGAATCTGAGATCACTGCAGCTTTGAGGGCTTCTAACTTGAGAAGGTTCAAATCTAAATTAAGACAAGACCTGCTGCAATTCACTTGTCCCTCTCTTGAGTTTTCCCCTGTTGAATTGTCTTGTGGTGAGTTGGCTGCTGTGTATTATCCCATAATGAGTTGGCCAGGGCAGGTCGGCCATGGCAAGATGGTTGCAGTGAGTTGTCCTACATCTTTCTTGCATTACCAACAATATGGTGTTAAGCAGAAATTCAGATAGCATGCATTTCATTGAGATCTGCATAAGAAAGAAAAGCCCAGAAAGTGAAAGGAAATGTTGTATTTAGACATATGTCAATAGTCTCTTTGCTTTAATTGTTTGTCATTTTCAGAAATGTGTGTTGATTCAGTAAAGGTATTATCTAAATTAAACAATAACTGGTTTGACCATAATTTGACATGGCCAGAAAGGGGCAGAGGTCAAAATCTTAGTTACAGTCAAAAGAGCTTTTCCTTATTCTCTGACCATCTACTTTAGAACTGAGTTTTTCTAAAGCCAAGTAGAAATTCATTGCTTTCATGAATATTATGATCAGGTATAGAATCAACTGATGCTGATCAGAATGCTGTTTCATTGGTGCTGGAGATGATATACAAGAATCTAACTTTTAGATCTTCAGTGCAAAATGTCCATTGCCTTATATTTAAAGCTCAATGCTTTAACAAAAATAACCTTGCTAAACTCTAAGATAACAGGGATTTCAAACCAGCGTGACTCTCCATTCTGTAATCTTTATATTGCTCCCTCCAAACATTAGATTTGTGATCCTACTTTTACATTTCTGCTTTTCCCTTAGATTTTCCCTTGTCATATTTAGAGGCTATTGCTTATCTGAGTGCCCCCCCCCCCAAAATCTATCCAATATGAGTAATGTCACTTCACTATGAAGGAATTCATCATGAAAGTGCTTAAAAATAGATAAAAATATATGATTTCTGTTGGCCTATGGACTGCATCTCCGCATTAGATACAAATAGCCTTTTCTTTTCCTCATTCACTACATAACACATTCCATTTCAAATACTAAAAATGTAGGAACAGGAGTATATTAGCTAGCCTTTCATATGGAGCTGATTTTTCTCATAAGTAGTGGGAAAATGCATGAAATTGACAGTTCATGATTATATTTGGCATGAAAAGATGATTAGGACTGTTCGAAGAGAATGTGCAGGTACTTGTTTGGGGTATAAAAGTAGTATATTACCATAATTGGTTTTTTATACTCAGCATTATATGATGCTTTCATTTAAAGAAAAAAACCATTATGAGCAATTTGCAGGAATTGGACCAAAACAAATAGAATAGATTATAACTTTGGATTCAGTAAAGCTTTTAGTTAGAGAAAATGACACATTATGAAATGGACACAAATTTTCCAAATTTATAACAGTATGGTACCTCAATTCATTTGGTTTTTCTTTAGTACTACATAGAACAGGCATCTTTAACATCCTGTTTATTTCATCCTCTTTTAATATCACGTTTGGGATGGAAATTATTACCCAAATTATTTATTTGGATTTATTTTACTGTATTTCTGCTTTTTTGTTTGAAGTAGTTCAAATATTATAAAAATATGTCCTTCGAGGATTTGAGCTAGCATTTTCCTCATGAATAGAATAAACTGAGAGAACACATTTATCCAAACATGTATTAAGAACAGTGCGGCCCTCTGTTGTGATCCTCTTCTCCCTTCTAGCCAAAATAGTTACATTTGACAAAGGTGGAAGTGATGTCATTTAATTAATAATTGACAATACTGATGACTGTTTTTCCTTGTGAATGCTTTCCATTATAGTGGAGTCTTTCTGCCTTTTCTTTTATATTTTACAGTTTTGAGAGACAAATTACCTTATTTCTACAAGATTTATGATCTGATTCTCAGTTACTTATCTTTAACCTTAGAAACTACTTTGGAGGGGATATTAGTTTTGGAAGTATGGGATTTTAAGCAATTCTTAGGTAAGCTACTCTTAAGCATCTATTCAACACAAAGAATGAAAAACAAGTTTCAAATTGATAGTGCTTTCTATTGCTATGACAGTATTAACTCTGAAGGACATTAATTTCCATGTTATAATTGATTTTTTTTAGAATTGCTAACTCAATCCAAATAACTCCCTTAGTTTATGGGAAAATTGTCGCAAATGGCAATCCCATGACTCTGGGACGCTGTGATGTTATAATTGAAAGCTGGTTGCCGAGCACCCGAATTCCAATTGCATGAGCACAGGGATGCTGCAATGGCCACAGCTATGAGGATCTGTCATTAGTAGCCGTCATTCAGTGCCACTGCCTTGTGAGAAGGTGTCAGGAAACATTGTAAATGAGGGTCACGTGACTAGGGCAGTGGTGCTGAATCCAGTATGAAATGGCAAGAACTTTTCAAAATTTCATTCCCATGGGTGTAATGGGTCCCAACATTCTGCAGGTTAGCCCATTTGAGGTACCTTGGTTGATAAATTTCTGCCTTATGCTGCACTGTTTTGCCCAGTTGAAAATTTCAGACATAAAAGTTTTAGTAGTGTGTAGATATTTCAACAGTGCATTGTGCTTATTTATTTGGCTTTTCTAGTTTTCTATAAATCGAGTTTTTGTATTTGATACCTTTTAAGAGAGAGCACACTAAAGCTACTAAAATGTATTACTGGTTAATAATTAACAGGTGAGTTACTGTGATTTATGGTAACAAGACTCCATTAGTCAAAATTCCAGTAAAGACTGTTAATTCTGATAAAGACAAAACTCTGTGTTAAATGAATGGGCAATTAATTTTTCAGTACAGCACAGCAACAATACTGGTTCTTTTCCCCCTTCAGTTACGCCCATCATTTATAGGATTAGTGATATTATTCCTTGTATATAAAAACAAATTACCAATTCACCTCATTTTTAACAACTCCTTAAGCTAAAGATAGGAAGGGAAAATTAATTGCTGTTAATCCCCATCTCCAGTAGCAGAAATATTTGAGCCTGTCTAATTGAAATAGATTTGGAAATGAAGATGGAGATCCACTTATTTTATTGGCAAATAAAAATTACACAAGCTAGGATGTCAAATGAAGATGGTGTAGGAAAACAGGAGCATGGTGCTAAAAAAGAGGTGGTCGATTTGCAGCCCTTTAGCCTCTATGTTGCTTATCAAGCCCTCCAGATTCAGTTTGCTGAAATCCACTAGAATTGCCAAATTTTGTCTTAGGGTTTTTTTCAGTTTTAAAAGTAAATGCATTTTTTTTTCCTTAAGCCAAGCGCTAAAATAATACAAAAGCAATTAAAAGGGCAGACATTTCTATTCTGACCTCTTAGTCAACATAATTGTATCACTATCATTGTGACTATAGAAGACTAAAACAAAACAAAACAAAACAAAACAAAACATAATTTTTAAAAAGTGATCCCTGGTTACAAAAATGTCATTTGCCTGTGATGTAGGAACTGGGTATCAAAAGGGTGCTGGCATAGTGCCTATCAGAGACACATACAGTATTGCCAAAATTCTTTGTTTTTTTTCTAGATACAGAGCCTTCCCCCCCCCCAAATAATATTCTGTGAATAGCTTAGAGAGGAATTGGACAATAAAAGCCTTATGTGGAAGCACATTAAGGCTCATGTCATTTTTTTTCCCATGAATTTTGAGATCCAGTCTAAAAACCAGTGATAATCCCCTTCATAAATACTATTCTGCTGCACAGCTTTAGTTCATGGAAGAATAATTCTACATCATTGGTGGGTTAAAATCACAGCACTGGAAAATTAGCTAAATGTTTTTTTTTTAAAAAAAAGGTATTGTGCATATGCTATCAAGCCTGTTTGGTAAATTCTGTCCATGCTACATATTTTTATTTTAGAATATCATGATGAATTTCAGGCAGCTAGCACCATTATACAGGAAGCATTTCTGAGACCCTCTACAATGAATATTTGTTTTGAACATCAAAATGTAGTTCTGCTAAGTTTACAGTAGCTGAATAAGGTTATAAAAATTATGGAGAGCTCAAATGTTTAATATTTGTGTTCCATTTAACAAATCTGCTCCTAGGTAATCCATATAAATCTAGATATGTATGTTGCTTTAGGGTTTTTTTGTTTTGAGTTTTTGAAAAGCTAAAACATTTTTGAATCTGAGAAGCATGTGGACAAATTTTAATATATCAAGGACCATTTATGGAGATCCGTGGGAGAACTCCAGTCTGTGTACTTACCCTGAAACTGTGCTTGATCCTTAAATACTACTTGCATCCACAGAAAAATTTGAGGGTTTGATTTGTAGCTTTATAGCTCATCTTTGAACTACCATAACTATCAACATTTTGAATAATTCTGTAAATAAGCTGGCCTGATATCCCATCTAGTGGCTATTGTTAGCGGTGCAGATATGAAACAATTTCTCAAGAGATAGATGAGGCAGGAATAGCTTTTTTTTTTTTTGTATAAGGCATTCTATTAAATCTGTATTTTTGTTAGCTATAATTTAGGTTGTTTCTTATATGTGGGTGTGTAGGGATGCCTTCAGGTCAGTGTTGACTCCTGGTGACAAATCCCTGCAGGTTTCCTGGCAAGGCTTCAGAAGTGGTTCTCCATTGTCTGCTTTCTAGGTCTGAGAAAGAACGAGTGGCTCAAGGCCACCCAGTTGGCTTCATGCCTAAGGTGGGACTAGAACCCACAGTCTCCCAGTTTTCTAGCCTGATGCCTTAACCACAGCAGCAAACTTGCTCTCAATTTAAGTAATAGTAAAGTGTTAAAATCAAGACTGCTTGTGTTGCTAGTATTTTAGTACAGTTAAAAAAAATCATGTTTTCTGGTGCTTCAACTTGAAAAAAACAATGCTTATTACTAACTTCAAGATAGCTTCAAATCTGTTATCCTGGCCAACACAGTTGAGAGAGTGGCTAGGAACAGTTTTAAATACTTCTGCATTGAACAGATTATTACTGTCTAGCTTTGGTCTGCATCATGAGGCTCAATGGCACAGTGGTTAGAGTGCTATTGGCTGCTTGCAATTTGGCAGTTCAAATCCCACCAGGCTCAGGATTGACTCAGCCTTCCATCCTTCCGAGGTGGGAAAAATGAGCACCCAGATTGTTGGGGGAAAGATGGTGACTCTGTAAAACCGCTTAGAGAGGTCTGTAAAGCACTATAAAACGGTATATAAATCTAAGTGCTATTGCTATCATAGCACAGATAAAACACTGATGGATTACCTGTTAAAGAAGCATGATAGGAGTAACTTGTACCCAGTTGTGCTCTAAAAATCTCAATGGCTGGGCTATCATCTCTAGTGCCCTCATGTTGGAGATATGAATTCAGCAGGAATCTTTGTTACAGGATATGTTCCTGTCATATCCTGTCATGTTCCTGTCATAACCAAATGCCAAATGTATTTCACATATTTATAGTACAAAAATTATCAAGAAAGATAAATGACAAAGATAGAAACTTGCTTTTATTTAACCTACATTCAGAAGAGAGAGAAGACAACAATTAAGTCTGAAGTACAAACACAGAGAGCCATTAAACACAGAGAGCCATTTAATTAACAATAGGGCAGGTGGGAATAACTGGGACAGATTATTATTGACTGCAGATAATTACTAGCTTGCATCCCTGCTTTATGAGATCTGTCCTGGTTCCTGTTACCCATTTGATTATTGCAAAAGGTGGAAATGGCCTTGAAAAAAGGTTTGCAAACCAGAGGAGCTAAAACTTTTATTTGGTAGATCTCTGCAGGAGCATGTATTATTTGTTTTGGTTAAACTGCATGGGTTTTCTGTTTCTCCCCAAGTTAAATTCAATGTTTTTGTTGCTACTTTTAAACCTCTATATATGATCAGACCCCTTCAACTTAATGGAACATCTTCTGTATCCTAAGCATCACATTCTGGTGTTATACTGAATGCCCATGGAGATTCTCAGTCATCCAGGGCATGGTTGTCTCAAAGGTGCTTTTTCAAGAGGCAGCCAGATTTTCTTGTTTTTCTTTGAAGAAGTTTCGCTTCTCATCCAAGAAGCTTCTTCTGCTGCACATAGTTTCTTGCATATGGCACCCTGGGAAGAAATCTTGCTAGTGTCAACTCGGGCTAGGACTTTGTTGGTGGCAGCTTCTACTCTTTCCAATTCCCTCCCGCCAATCTATTTGCTCAATCGTAAATCTGACATGATTTAAGAAATTGTGAAAAAAATATTTTTATTCTTTAATTTTTCCTCCATAGTATTTATATCTTAATTACAGTGATAACTGATGGTTTTTGTCTTTAATGTTCCCGGTTTACTGTTTTGTTGCAGCAATTTTATGATATTCGCTTGATTTTAGATTGTTTTTTGCTGCTACATTATTCTGAGTTGTTTATTCTTGAGATTGTTATTTATTGGCTCTGTGAGGCAAGCGAACCTTTCATACTGGCTGTGTGCAGAATACAAATTTACTTTTCGTTTTTGCTATGGAGCAATAGGAGACAGTTTTGATGAGTATTGCTGATGATCACAGCTTTGTAAAGTACAGCGAATTCATGAGAACTTTTCTTATACAAATTTCTTTAGGTATAGTTTATATTTTTTCCTGTGATGATACTCAAGATTTGTTTTCTGAAAGAAAGTTCATAATCTATAATGAGATTTATTAGGTGTTGTTGGTTGGTAGTAAAATTCAACTGTTAGAGAACATATTTACTAAAAGGTTAATATGGTATTATTATGTCTCTTTTATAGGCTTTATACTTTAGATGGAAAACCTGTGGAAAATGGGATGGATTTGGAAAATGGACAGTTTTATGTAGCAGTTGGCAGAGATAAGTTTAAGAAATTGCCATATAGAGAATTATTGTTCAGCAAGTCCACGATGAAGAGATCTTATGGGTATGTAAATGTGTTCTTGCCCTAGGTTTATTGATGAACAGAAATGCTGGTAATTCTTGGTACTAGCATGGTTAATTCCCAGTGTTAATAATTCTGAGTCCTTAACAACAAAGAGATATCACCAGAGTAGTCACAACTGAGATTCTGGCTATAGATTTCTATGGATATATGAAGGAGCAACTAGGTATAATGGCTGATACTCTTGGTTCATTTAATTTATGTCATATTTGCAGTAGGGAAGCATTTATACCTAGCAGTGTTTGGGATCACATACAATTACATATTTCAGGCTGAGCCTAAAATACTATTTCCTTTAAAGCCATGGTATAACACAAAAACGCTTGTAATATTTCTTTGTAGATTATGTAAGATTACTTAGGATGAGTAGTTATGTGTGAATACTGTTTCCAACCATTGTGTAGAGGTTGACTCAGGCTAAAGCATTTTACTTGGTTCTGTCCCTCCCTCCTTCCTTCCACGCACACAGACAAACACTCACAAACACACATGAGAGAGAGAGAGAGGAAAACAAGACAGATAGAGACAGAGACACACAGAGAGAAAAACAGGTAAAATGCTGTTAGCCTGAGAGAGAAGTAGGCAGACACTAATAATACTTGTCTGTTTCTCATACTACCAGAGCAAAATTAGTATAATTAGTGAAATGGTTAAACTTTGTAATATTTAATAAGATTTATTTATTTATGAAAATAAATGTTGCCCCAACACATTACAACTCTGGATAGCTTGTAAAATCTATAGTAACGATACATAAAAACATAAAGAAACCCTTTAAAAGTCCAGAAATAACAACAACAATTTAGAAAAACAGAACATCATACAGGTGGTCTATTACCCAGTTTAACCTAGAGTCTGGGAACACAGCCAGATTTTAAGGGCTCATTTAAATAGGACCGGGTAGAGGGAGCCGAACAAATCTCAGGAGGGATGGTGTTCCAGAGGACAAGCATAATGACAGAAAACTCTTGCTTCCAAGTGAAGTTGTTTGCTCAATTACAAACTAAGCTAAATCTGTCAGATTGTGTGAGACAGATAGAAACTACAAGAGACAGGCAGTCCTTAGATAAACAGGTTGTTTTCTATGAGGGTTTTTTTTAAACCATGATCTCAGATTATACATGGAAGCTTACTGGCAAACAATAGAGCTCAAGGAACAGATATCTCACATGGGCAGGCCATGTTCGGTTCAAATTCAGCTCATAGTTTGGTCATGAAATGATCAGTTCTGAGGGTCTAGGTGTGAGCCCATTTGGCACACTAATTGATTTGTCAAAGGACTTTTCTGCCATGGCAGTTGCATAGCAGTCCTGAGGAGGGAAATGCAGTCACATTCAGGAGCAAAGATGGTAACTCTTCCAGGTTCAGGAGGTCTAAACAGTGGTATCTACAGCTACTGTATCTAATCAGAATTGAAGCAAGGTCAATTCCTCCCCATCCAGACCTATCCAACCTGCAAACATTGGGACAAGATTTTGACAGAATTAGCTGACTGACTCAAGACTGGGGCTTGTTAACATACTGATGATATCAGACCCTAGCCTAGGTCAACAGATGACCTCACCCTTTGGTCTCATATAGATGTTAAGTAGGAAGGACAAGAGCATCAGGCTCTGAGACACCATCCATAGGAGGACTTCCTGGTTTGATCTCTCCGTCCAGCCAACATTAATTGGACTCCACCTCAGAGAAATTAGAAGAATTCTAGCAACTCTGCACATCATTTTAGGATATGCCACAATAATTGTTGCAGAAACTGCAGCAAAATATACCACATCATAATTTTGTTTCTAGACATTTTAACAATAGTTGGGCTGTTTCAGTCAATAAATTTAATAAATAAATAAGCATGTATTTCTCTTTGCAGCTCAAAGGCATCCTCGCTACCACCTATTGGTGGATCTGGAAAATCAAAGGGGAGCGTAAGTATCAAATATAATACGGGTTTCATGGTTTACTGTGCTTAATTCCATCAGATAAAATTATATTTCCTTTATAGATTCACTCATAGATACCTTGTGAGACATGGCAAGGAAACACATAGACGGAATTTACCTTGACCTTTTTGACTGCTTGGAATTTCTCTAGCTGTGAATAAGTTGCCTTTTTTCATATTAAAGCTAAAGTACAATGGTGTTAAAAATGCAATTTAGGAATATTTATATTAAGGAAGCCTTTATGTGCATATATTTGAAGTTTATATTTAATAACACATTTTCAGGTTTCTGCAAATAAATTATGTGTTTTCCTTTTATCCTATTAGTCAAAATCTACTGACACAGGAGACACATTGTCTTCTCCTCAGTCTCCAAAGAGAAAGGAAAAGATTGGATACAGTCAAGAGTCTAAAAACCCTACAAAATCAAAAGAAGATGCAAAAATTGTAACCAAATCTTACATTTTTCCTGTTAATGGTAAGTACATAAAATTAGGGTACCATTTATTTTGTATTTGATTGATTTGTGTTTTATGCCATCTTTATTTTGTTCAATAAAGGCTCGTTTTTTTCCGATTTCAAGAATAACTCAGTAAACTGAATAGGGTTGAGAGAGAGTAACTGGCCCCAAATCACTAGCTGGTTTCTGCACCTAAGGGAGGACTAGAACTCACAGTCACCTTGTTTCTAATCCAGCATCTTGTTGCCAGACATATTACAAATATAATTAAAGAAGTAAGTATGTAATAATGAACATTAAAAGCAGCTGTCACAAAATATTTTAATTTCCTATTTCTGAATTTGTATGCTTTATTTATTCTAGTCTGTCAACTCATTAAACATTTCTATGCCTATTTTATAGTTGCCAACGGGGGGGGGGGGCAGGGGAGGAGTTTGAAGGAGCAGTGCAGCAGTTTGGAATCGAAAGTACATTCCATTCATAACTTGCAGACATTGTAACTAGGTTTCTATCTCGTAAATCTCTAATTGGAGAACATGATTGATGACTCTTGGCTATGGATGTGTTATGTTGGAGAATATGAATTATGATGCGCCCAAAGGGGTGGGTGGGTGGGAAACCAGGGTCAAGGGCGACAGTGAATTACGTGTCTCATAATTGGCTTCAACCAGGTCTTGCCGACTTGTTCACTCCTAGTAAATTCCTTATAGGTTTTGAAGTTTGGCTCGAGGGTCATGATTTAATTTGGGCAACTGCTGGAATCCTGACATAGTCCACTCAGTTAATGAGATAAGAAATGTAAATAAAGATGACTGATCGATATTAGCAAGAGTGCTACTTATTAGTGAGTCATGCTACTCAATTACATTACTACAGTAGAAAGGATTTTGACCATCGTATTATTCACAATATAGTTGATTGTACTGGATTATCTAAATAAAGTAAAAAAACAAGAGTTCATATATCAACATTTATGCCAAAGATTTACATCATTTAGGTTCTATTTTCCCCATAATGTGAATGTACAAGTGCACAACTTGGTGATGAGAACTTTGTGATACATGGCTTAAAGCAAACAACTGAACAACAACAAACTAAAAAGATTGGATTGATAATATATTTTTTCAGAACTATTGTAGGTATTCTACCTGTAGACTCCAGAATCAAACACAAGGAACTTCCATTCTTTCCTACAGTCAGGGATACATGGACAAAATAAAATAAAAGGTAAGCAAGGGAGCATTGTATTCCGCGGAATTCAGGCTTTAAATTAGGTCTTCTAAATCATGGCCCCAAAACCATCTCTGAGATTTGTAGAACAAGGCAACACATGATTACAGTCTATTTTTATCTGCTTCTTCAGGGATATGTGGATACTATGTAGTGATGAAACAATGCTGTCTCATTTTTTAGAGAGTACAATCTGAGAGACCTTGTTCTAACAAAAGCTCAGAGCTCTGCATGGGGTAGATAGCGGGGAACCCAGTTTCTTTTCTTATTGAAAAGTGGATATGGAGCCAAACACGGTTAACTCATTATTTCTTTACAGAGACAAAGCCAAGGCACACAGCTGCAGAACAAATTATAAACCACAAATCAAGTTTTGTTCAGTTCTCCATGGATGGGTGAGTATTATTACTTGTTATTAAATGACCTGGATTTATATCCATGGGAAGGGTGGGGAAATTTGGTTGTGAGAGATGAAATCAAAAAATGCTCAGATAAGTGTACCTTTTCAGTCACTTGTTCAATAATCACACATTTACAACTCTGTTATAACTACTATGCATTATGCAGCACTATTTCTCTTGTCTTTCCACAGATATCAAGGCAGCCACCCAACACTCCCAGACACATAAGTATTTTCCACCAGGACTTCAACAGATTGAAAAAAAAGGGATAATAGCAGCTGTTTCATTCTGAAGTTGCTAACTTTGTCCTGAGACTCTTAGGCCTTTCACAGATGGAAATGTAACAGGTGCAATTGTAGCCCCACCCAAAAAGTATGATGGAAATATCTGCATCTGTTACTTGACTATCCTTTCAGGGCCTTCCATGAAAGAATGCATTGTATGTCAATATTTTTCAATAAAAGTTGGGACTCTCAGCTATGGCTCTGTTCTTGCAATTGTTAGCAGATATGGGTCCTTTCCACTTGTTGCTCATTTCAGATATTTCCAAATAGATTCTTTAGCATAAGAATTTACCTCTTTTTTTCTTACCATTTTACTACTAAGAATGTCACAAGGAATATTTTTACATTTGTATGGGTGTTCCAGTGATACTGTCATAAAATTATGCTTAGTATATTAAGTTCTGCCTGTTGGCAGAAAGTTAGAATCTAGATGTCATAAATTAATAGATTAATTAAAGTATTAGATTGACAAAGTTTCCTATCTGTTTCTGGCTGTTTGTGGTGAAGTGTAGTTCTAACCCAACCATCCTCATGGAGCTTTTCATGAAGTGGAGATTAAATTTGCTTGTGTGCTCTATATAGGAAACAGTGAATGCTAGATTCTGTGACATCATTATTTTGTCCTTTCCATTAGTACTTTTAGCACTTTTCAAGCATGGGTAAAATGGCATCATTGCAAGCAAGATCAAGATTGAAAAATTGGCACAGGTAGCCCTTGTTGAAGAACCACTTGTTCAGCCAATGTTTGAAGTTACAAGGGTGCTGAAGAATGGATCCTTGAGGTGTTCCAGTCTGCAGCGCTTCGGGGCAGGCAGGAATCTGTGACTGTGCACAGTTTCTGCCTGCGCTCGCTGCTGGAGTGCCCTGAGCCACCTGGCTTCAGGGCTAGCCACCTCCGTAGAAGGTGGCGAAGACAGGGGGAATCTGGCAGGGTCAAGAGATATCGCACCTCTCTTCTCTAGCCAGCTAAACCCCCTTTTCCGAAGGCAGCTGAGCGGCGATCAGAAATGGCCGCCACATAGAAGCGCTCAGCCAGAAAAAGAAAGTGCAGGAGGAGTTGAGAAGAAGTGAAAGGTTTTTTTTGCTGACCAGGACAAAGCAACAACGAAAGTACCCTGGAACTTAAAATTTGCGAAAGATACATCATTTCCAGAGATTTACAAGCAGCAAATGGAAGTTAAAAGGGGAAGTTTTTCTCTTTTTTTTCACTCTCCTTCCTAACATGACATAGAAATGCAAGAGAAATCGGAAAAACCCTGCATTGGCACTAATAGATAATTAAATGCTAAAGGGATAAGGATTTCTGAATATTTAAAAAATTTTTTTGCTGTAAGTGGGAAGGGAGAGGAAAAGAATTGGAGCAGGATTTGGAAGTAAGGAGGAGATTGCCTAGAATCTCAAAGAACTATTAAATACTAACAAGACTTCTAAAAGATATATTTTAACTGGAACTTTGTAACTAAACAGTAACCCCAGAAAGAGAAAGTGAAGAAAGAAGAAAGTGCTAAAAGAAACAGCTTATTTGGATTGTTTGGTGACTTTGGGACTTTTGGGAATTATTTTTGACTAAAAACTCTTGGGTGGTTGTTTTGGAAAAACTTTTTCTTTCTACAATGGCATCACTTGTGGATGAATTGAAAATTGAATACAAAAAATACAAAGAAGAAAAACAAGAAGGGAAAGACTCTCTTGGCACTCTTTTTCAATTTTTAGAAATGGCGATTTGCACTTATGGGAAACTGCGCAACAAGATGATTGGGACAAAGAAGAAGCCATCTTTGATGAACAAGTAACTTTATTTGGAGAAGAAAGGGAGAAAGAAGAAAAGAAAAAGGGGACTTTAAGACTTGAAAAAACAACCAAAAAAGAGAAAAATAAGGTGAAAAGTGGATATAATGTTAGAAAACAACAGAAAGGGGGAAAGCAGAAGAAAAAAAGGGAGGTGGAGAGACAAGGGGGTAAAAAGGGCAGGGAGAAGAACAAGCAAGGGAGGAAGGAAGGAATGAGAAGCCTTAATGGTGGGGAGCAAGATGTAAAGAAACAAGATTCATTTAGAGATAATGGGTAAATTTAATTGAAAAAGGGATTCTGCAAAGGTACATAAGATTGTATTCTTATATTTGTACTTAGAATTAATGTTAGAAAATTGGAAACAACATGTGATCAAAGAATGGGATAAAATATTTAGTGTAACAGTGAAATTTTTGTGAATAAAAAGAAGGCAATGAAATAAATGAGACAATTGAGGTAGGAGGAAATGGGAACATTTTAATGATACAATGATTTAAAATATGTGATGTGGGGGGAATATAACTATGCAAAGTATATGGAAAGTATAAGTGTTCCCATAAAAGTATGATATTCAACTGAAAAGTAACGTGTAAAATATTTAAGAGATAAATGAATATTAATATTAATGATTAGATTTGTATTGGCATTGATAGTTGTTTTAATTATATTATATACTTATAATTTTTTTTCTTTTTATAAAATATAATGTGTAATTTTAGAATGTACTAAACAGAATCCCAATGGAAGTCGTGTATTATATTAAATATTATAAATTTAGGGGAAAGAGTTAAAGGCGTCACACTCCAATCAGTGTACAGGAGAAGTTTTGTTTAAAGAGAAAAGAGAAATAGATAGCTGGAAAAACGAACAAAGAATAATAAGCATTATGATTTGAACTGAGATGAGATAAATAAAATAAAATTAAGAAAGTTAAAAGAGGCGAGAAGCTATATAGAAAATGGAAAATGGTAATAAGATATGGAATGGTATGTAAAATGAACATGAATTTGAATTTGTGTCTGTACGAAGAGATGTAACCCGGGATCAAGCAGCTTTCAGAAAAGATGTTTTATGTTTTTATGTTTTATGTTTTGTTTGTTTATGTATTGTCTTTGAAAATTAATAAAATTTGTTTAAAGAAAAGAATGGATTCTCATAGTTACAGCTGTTGCAGCATCTCCACAGTCACCTGATTGCAATTTGGGTGCTTGGCAACTAGCTTGCAATTGCTATATTGCAGCATCCACAATAACGTGATCACCACGTGTGACATTTGCTTCCAGCTTTCAACAAGCAAAGTCAATGGGGAATCTGGAAAGATGTTGCAAACAGCGATCCCATGACCATGGGATGCTGCAACCGTGCAAGATTCACCTAATGACTGCAACTGGGGCTGCTGCAACTGCTGTCAGATGGCACAGTCATGTGACATCACACTTTATGACTGCATTGCTCAGTGATGGAGTTGCCAGTCCCAAGTACTATTGTTAAGCAAGGACTAATTGTATAGTTACATAGGTTCTAATAATATTCCCATATTTTTTCTGTTATTATTATTATCATTGGGATATGTTATACCTTCATTTTCATCTCACATACATTTTATTGAATAAATGTCATCTTCTTCTGCAAGAGGTTTGTCCCTCCAAAGATAACTTGGACGAGGCTGCTTTTTTGTTTAGAAAACTGTCCCTATTTTGTGATAAATTTATAATTCTCATAGGATACTTTTTAAAAAAATATTTAGAGCAATGGCAATTTCTCTACCTCTCTTTGTGTCTTTGTGTGCTATCATAGAGAATAGGATGGAATCTCTTCTCTATTTCTTTTACATATCTGTTACAGCTAATGAAAAATGTGTTCTGTGTTTTTTTAAAAAACAAGATCGCATGTGATAAATTACACTGATTTTTTTCTTTTGAAGTTATATTAATTCTCCAGCTTACTTGCTGAACTTAGAGCTTTGTAAATGTCTCTGATTTACATAAAATATTCAAGGGAAACAGCCTATTATCATGATTATTTTCTCCCCAATGCTGAACTTCAAATTTGAAATTCATTAAATGGTTGTACATACTATTATCATTTGTGTGCAATGCATTTTTAATTGTTAGCCCTGCTTAAGAAATTAGCTTATGCAAGGAACATTAATTTTCTGGATGTAATTAAAGTATATTGATTACTTATTAAGTATTTGAAACTCTAATGTGTTATCTGATATTCTTTTTTTCACAATATATCAGTTTCTTTCAAACTGAATGTAGGAACTGAGTGTCATAAAAGAAGAAATATTTTTCAGTAGATAGAAGAATTCACAGTGTTTTCAGAAATTATCAGACTTCTGAGGGGTGGAAATGGTAGGTTGATTATTGTGGTGGAATGAAGAGCCTGCAAATAGACTGGCTGTTCAATAATTCCTCTCCAAATCAGGAGAAGACTTGAGATTACCTATAAACGCTCCAAACAGTGGCTCTTGGAGGGTTAAGAGCAGTGGGAGATGAGGGAATAACCATCATGCTCAAACTGCAGTCAGCTGCTCTGACAGGACACTACATTTCCATATTTACTTTTCTAAACATCTTTCATAAATTGCTTGTTGACTTCTTTTCAACGGTTAGGAACCCAAACTTCATGGGTTTGCCTTCTGTGTAGAACTATTTTGGCTCTGCAAGCAAAAACAGTGACCTCTAAAACACTGAAATGATTGGGAAGAGTCAGTTGATGTAGACCAGTAGTTCTCAACCTTGGCAACTTGAAAACATGTGAACTGAATGGTCAGTTGGGGAATTCTGGGAGCTGAAGTCCACATGCCAAGTTGCCATGGTTGAGAAACATTGCAGTGGACATACTTCATTTTCAAATGTCTTTCTCAGCAGACTCAATGGCTATTAAACACCTCAAAATTATTTAACATTATAAAAAAATAGCAGCAATTATAAGTTTGTGTATAGGATGTGTAATGATTTGGTTCATTGGCCTTCATACTTAAAATTTAATATCCAACAATGTCATTCATAAGGTAAATGAACATAGCATACAGATTTAAAACTTTAGTTTCAATCTTCCGTAGCCAGGCTGGGAATTTTGGGAATGACAGCATTCATTAAAGCGGCCCTTGAATTGGAAACATTTTATATGAACTGTATGAATTGATGATAATGGCATGTATTGCTTAATTGCTTAACATTTAGTTTATGTTCAGCTGTACTTTTTTTCATCAACATTTTTTAATCTTGCAATACTGTGACCCCCTAAAATGACAAAATGAATTTGTGTAACTATGATTAAAAGTAATGATTTAATTGGGGCAATAATTTATCAAGAAATATACTTTTAATAATTGTATTTCTATACATTAAACTCAAAAGTGATTGGTCTTTAAAAACCATAACAATAAACCTTCCACTGGAAATAAATAAAAAATGTTACCGGGGGAAATGATATTAAATGTTGACAGTATCTTGCTTTTTGTACTTTTTTCTCCCAGTGCAGCCATAGTGAGATGCTAGTTGCAGCCTGGTTTCTTTGTTTCCCAGCCTCATGCTTTCTGCTTGTAACATTCTCAACCCATTCTTGCAATTTCCTTCTTGTTGCAATCTGTCACTTCTGCTTTGTTCCCCTCTGTTGTAATTTCCTCTGTAGCTTCAGGTCAGATGAGATGTCAGATGTTCAGAGCTTTACACAGAAACCTTGTGTTCTCTGTGTCTTACTCCTTTGAAAAATGGTATATGTTAAAGAACATAAATGATATTTAAGTTCCATGCAGGTCTTTGAAGCTGACAGGTCACTTTGCATTCAACTTTGCTATTGAATTCAAAGCAACATGCAAGTTCATGCTCAGAAAGAAATGTGCAAAAGGCTCTTTCGGTTGATCATCCATCTATTAATATTGATGCGCATTTTGAGAAATAATGGTTTAAACATATACCTTGGTGCAAGGTAAAAATTACCAAACATATGATACAATGTACTAAAATAAAATAAAATAAATAAATAAACAGGAATGTCACAGCATGCTACTTAAATTAAACCCATCAGCAATACCAAAGAAATGTCTTCAGCTAGATAGTCCAGAGGCCTAACTGAATAGATGTTTTTAGTCCAGTAGTCAAATATTTCCCTAAAGAAAGCTGTGCGGTCACTTTGTGCTAGAATCTCTACAAGTAGGCCTCAAGTTACAACTGTAATTGGGGCTGGCTTTGTTACAATCTTATTATAAGTCATTCTCATCGTAAGTTGAGGCACCATGTGACTGGAAGTAATATTCTGGCTTTTTTTGGGGTGGTGGTGGTCACTAAACACAACAGTTGTTAATTGAACCCATTCATCTGAACAACCATTTTTTTGCCAGGAACTAGCAAAAAACATGAACCGTAGTTAGGTGACTTCAGAACACCGACTGATCATAAAGCTCTCTCTCTCTCTCTCTCTCTCTCTCTCTCTCTCTCTCTCACACACACACACACACACACACACACACACACACCCTGGCAACATGCAGTTACATAACTGCATGGAGGCTGATGGGACCATTTATGGCAATTGGAATACTTTAAGGGTTGTATAGCACTCTTTCTGTGATGGTGGTAACTTTGAATGATCGTAAGTAGAGAATTATTCTATACCCAACTACTGAAAAAGCCCTCTCTTGTGTCTGTGTTCTGTTTCAAAAGCAAGAGGCAGACTTTATCAGCTTTTAAAGAGCTCAAAATATATTTGTCTCTGCTTCTATTTTCTGAATGTATATTAAATCAGTTATTTTTTCTCACTCAAGCATATCATTATTCAAATATTTTTCTGGCTTTTCTATTTTTCAGAGAAGATGTGGTATTGGTAATCCAATTAATAAAATACATAATACCATTTTTATTTCTAGTAAATTCGAACATTGTTTTCAAGTAGTTCAACAGTAGATTTCATGGCAGTTATGTATTCAGATAGTTATAGTGGTATCACCAGTTCTTTCATTTAATCATTCTGAATGGACATCTTTTCACTAGGATTACCTGATAATAAGTGCTTCTTTGAGTTCCTCCAAATGTGTGCTTGTGTCATCAGCAATGTTATTCTATCCACCTTGCCTTCTTGAGGCTTTGTTGATTGAATAAATAAAGCAAACCCTAAGGAAAACCTCAAGGGTCATTTTTAATATGTAGAAGTGACACAGATATGGAGTTTCTCCACAGGTAAGTCTTTATATTGATAAAACTGTTAATATGTGTGTCACTTCCATGAGTTACCATATTACTATATCTGTTTAGAAAATCAGAAGTACACTTTTGAAGAAACAGCTTCAAATTACTTTTCATTAGTAATGCTGGTATGGTTATAATGCAAAAGATAACCAATGAAATATCATTTAGAATAGATGCAGTGCAATAATTTCACCACACAGTGTCACAAAATGGACTCTGCTTTTTTCCACTTCAGATGATGGTATTTTCAAAGCTGGAAAAAAACGATCTGAAATGCGAGGGGCAGCAGAAGTCCAGGAAGATGAAGACACTCAAACTGAGGTCCCAGTTGACCAGGTAATCTCCAAAGTTTGGATAAACACCCACATTTTAAACAAGTTTGCATTTTCACATTGATATTGCATGCTTTGGATGCATACTAATGAGAAGGCTGCTGACTTCTAGGAAAAGGATAGGGAAGCTAGGCCAGGGGTGTCTAACTCGATTTCATTGAGAGCCACATCAGGGTTGTGTTTGACCTCGGGGGACTGGGGTAGGTGTGGCTGGGGTAGGTGTGGCCAGTATGACATCACTTGTGTTGGGGATGCCAGTGCAAATGGACTCCTGAGCTCCGTTTTCAGCGGGGATGGCCTCCTGCAATTCTCTGCCAGCAAAAATGGAGCTCAGGGGAGGGGTCATGTGTGGCCCTTGCAAGCCCCATTTTTGGTTGGGGTGGCTTCCTACAACCCACTTCCAGCGAGAACAGAGCTCAGGAGGCTCGTAAGCTCCATTTTCACTGGCAGAGACACAGTGGGCTGGTCCTTCACTATTTCCAGGGTAGTCCCACGGACTAGATCTAAGCACTCTGCTGGCCGGATCTAGCCCCCGGGCCTTGAGTTTGACATCTCTGAGGTAGGCAGTAAGTTGTCTTTAATGCAGAAGAGAAAATGTAACTTTTAACAGAACCACTTTTTGATGCAGTATTAGAAGAACAAATCTGCCTGATTTTTCTTTTTGGCAGATTTATGTAGCAGAGCTGAGGGGCAGAGTTAAGCGCCACATCAGTTTAAAGTTATTACATTCCCACAAGTAGTCCATTGAATACTGTTGACCCTTATCTGGGTTCAATTTAATGGATGGTCCTGATCCTTTGCACTTAAATTAATGTTAAGTTGCAGCAGAGAAGATTTATTTAAATTGATGACATGCTTAACTCTGTCCTCTCCTCCTACAATTTATTAGCCCCTGTAGGTAACATAGCCCTTCTTCTGGGAAGCTTTGGACAGTTTAAATTTGATCACTTGGGGTTTGAGTAATTTTCTTTTTTTAAACAGAAAAGTACAGCAAGTTTGCAGAATTGAAAACTGAGCTTTCCCTCTTAAATCAGTAACAAGGCACTATAGATATCCTTTGAGGGTAAGAATTCATTACTACTGAAAAAGTCAGGAAGTTTTGTTAGCAGTGTAAACTTCGAAAGATAGACCAGCAGATACCAATTTGTGATAGTATTGGTGGGCCACTGGATATAAGATAGCAATAATGCACACTGTTGTTTTGAAAAGTGTCCATATTTGTTAAGGAACAGAGTCATATCATTGGGGTGGGTGTGTTATTTTACCTAACGCAATCCCTTGCTAAACATATAGATTTTATCTCCTTCTGTTTGTTTATAATGCATTTTCCTATATCTTTACTTTTGGCTGAAAATGTAATGTTACCCGCATATCTCAAAATTTGTCCTTGCTTCCTGTTTTGATTCAACTGACATATCTTCCCGTTCTGCCATATCTGTAATATATTTGTTATAGATTTAATTTAAACAGATATGCCTATTTCACTATCTATCTCCCTTCTCTATTCTAAACCACTCAGTATTCCCAAGTACCTTTCATACTGTACATATTATATAGTTATTTGTAAAAGTTCTTCAAAAGAATAGTTATGTGTTCTAGCAGATGTATTATAGCCTGTTCTGTATTCATCATGATATACACAATCAGAAAACTGGCGTAGCTGACAAAACAAAGATACATATCTTTTTATTTTGTTTCCTTCATTATCCACCTTTGGTCTGAAACTTCACTGTTTGGTATTTCATTTTCTATTCTTTTTGTAAATTTTTAAGCAAATGTCTATGACATGAAGAATTAATGCAGATTCAATAATTTTCTTTTTCTTTTCCTTACATTTCCAATCTTCAGGTTGCAGATTCTTGTTTCATATTTGTTAACATAGGATTGCTAACACTTTAACCGGCCCTTTGCCACTTTAAACCATTTGGGCGGATGTTTTCTTTTACTTGATAATTGAACTGACCTATTGTCTGACATGTCACAGTTTCTAATGAAATTGATTTATGAATATATTCTTTCTCTGCAAATATTTATGTTATTTAACACCCTGTTGGTAAAAGATCTGTAAGGTCCTTCTGACATTTCTTAAGGTGTTTTTGATTCTTCTGTGATTACTGTTAAATATTTTTGTACTAGTTGTAAATTTTCCTGTGATTACTTCAATCTTAAAAACCCTCTCATCCCCCTTTTTCTGTTATATTCCACGATTTGTTGACATTTTTTACTGAAATTGTTTGCTTGAAGTTGGAAATCCAGATTCAATTTTTGGCAATTTACTATTAATATTCTGCAGTGTGCATAGTATAATATTTCTACTTTTGGTTTTCCCCTGGGTTATTTCAATTAAAAGTTTTTTCCTGTATTCATCAGCGACCAGCAGAAACTGTGGATGAGGAAGAAAATGTATCACCAAAACATAAAGCTTTAAAAAAAAGAGAATATGCAATGATGAATGGAGAAAATGGAGAGGCTATTAATGGAATGGAGGAAGGCAAAGAGAAACAAAATGACCATTATCAAGATGAATTACAAGAGCAGGACCAAGCAGGACAAGAGTCTAATGGCCACATGCATGGTAACACAAATGAAGAAAATGGTGAGGAAGTGGATCCCAGTTGTCATCCAGAAGAAACAAAAGAAGGTATTGATGATCAAATCCAGGTAACATGTTGTTGTCTTTTGTGTACCTGTGTGAAAATGCTTCCATTTGTCTGCTATAGCAATAGGTTAGTCTGCAATCAATTTGCATTACCCTTAGTGTCACAGTTTTAGGGAAACCGTTCTCTTTGTGGAAGATTCTACTGGAATTTTCATAGGGGATACTGAATCTCATAATATAAGAACGTTGGATATTACCTGCAAAGCACCTCTATGCATTCTGATCATAGTTCTAAACTAGAATTGATAACACTATCTCTCAAATAATGCATTTGCTAAATTGAGTGAATTTGCTTTATATGAAACCAGTGGAAACATGCATCCCGAAAAGTATTGAGGTTTGTGAAGCATCATGTAAAGTATTTTATCCATCAGAACATCTGATACCAGTCAAAAGCAGACTCTGTTTAGTTGCCATGATGGATTTTCCCGGAATAATATGTAGGAAGCTACATTAAATAGTTTAGTTTAGTTTACTTTATTGTCATTGCACCTCGTACAACGAAATCAAACACCAGATAAGTTGTTAAACAAGGATGAGTTTGTTTTTTCTAATCATATAGCTACCTTAATCCTCAGTTGGCGTGCTCAGCGATGACTTCCAACTTGAAGAAGTCAGAGCTGCTTTATCATTATGAATATACATTAGAATATACACACTACAAAACTAAATACAACTTTATGACACAAACTTGTCAAATTCAAATGTGTTTTTTCTTTCTTCTAGGTTGATTCCAATGGAACTTATGAAAAAGTCCCAGCCCCAAGAGTCACCATCACCAGTCCACAAGAAAGTGAGAAGAATGAACAAACCAGTGACTATGCAGCAGTAGCATAGGGATATTTTAGAAGATGTATGTTCTCAGAAAATGAAGAATTCTATCTTTGGAACAAAGGGTGTCATTTTCCGCATTTAATTATTTTATGGTATAATAATATGATGGATTTTTTTTTACCCATTTTGACATGAAAAGAATATTCAGACATAACATCATTAAAGGGATGTTCATTAAAAGAAAGTTTAAATTGTAAACGCCAACACAAGATACAAAATTTTAAGGGAATATATCAGTGAATAGGGTCATTATGGAAGATGAAATATTGAAACATTAGCCCTAGGTAAGTTCACAAGAAAGAGATTAAAAAAAAACAGGTGAATGAGTTAAATGATATTTTTGTGTTTTTTAAAAAAACTTTAAACATTTTTAAGGTGAATATTTATATAAGCTGCAGTGTATTTAAAGAATTTACATTACTGTTAGGAGTGTGACTGTTTGTGATAAGGTGAACGGTACATTAGACTTGATCCTTAACCTTAACCAACCTCTACTATATTTAAGGGCTTTTTCTATTAGACTCATTTTATATTTACATGTGGATCTGTTCTCCCCACTGAAGGGAATGGGAAACCACTGCATGTATAAGATAGTATCATATACTGATTGGAATCCCCATGCCTGGAGTGAATTGCTGTATCAGTTGAAAGAATGTGGTCACAAAACAAAGAAGGTTTATTAGATCAATTAACTATAGAAATCCTGCTGCATGCACATTGTTATATCCTGTTTGCAAGTTACATTGTAGTGAATTTTGATGATTGGATGCAGGCTGTTTGCAGGTAAATAAATTCATAAGTTTATCCAACAGCAGGTTATGCTAGTTTAAGTCAAAGATTCCTCCAAGTCAAAAGATTTCTCTAATTGTTCCCATCTGGAACAACCTGAATAATCATGGCAAGTTGCTATATAAACTTACCATTTATGTCCACTTTTTTAAACCCAGGACACATAACCAATAACAATATTATGGTTTGGTAATTTCTTTTTTTTAAAAAACCAACCCATTATTTTAAAAATTAACTCCAACTCGCAAATCATGTTCCCTTTGTCTTAAAGTTCAGTTCATGAAAAACTGATATTTTCAAATACTAAAAAACTATTGATAGTTTGTATATAGCTCCATTTGTGCTGGATTCACAGACTCCAGAAAGAGGCTTAGTTTTGAACTGTTGCTTGAGTTAATGCTCACTAGGGTCATATGTTTGTTTTATGTGAGATCTATATAACTTACTACTTCTAAATTTTTCTGATAGCCCTTGTTTAAGCCATTTTTATTATATAGGTTGAGTCTTTATTTTAAGTTGATATGTTTAGCTTGTTCTTTATAAGTAATTTGACCACCTTAAAATATCTTCGTTGTTATTGTTATATATGAATACCTGAACATGCTTTAACATGTGATCCTGAGGCTGACCTACAGACAGCTAATCTGAATTTTTGTCAACCCTATTCTAATAATAGTATCCATATTTATGCTTTAGTTAGCCATTGACATTTGCTAACTATGCAGACAGCATAGTTAGCTAATGTCATTTTAATTAGAAGGAATGTAACTCAATTCAAAATGTGACCCTTCCAGTTCAATTAGCATTCCTAGAAATTATCTCTAAACTGACGTGACACTGAATAAATGCTGTCTGTAGATCCTCAACCCCCTATTTTCACTGATAGAAGTAATAGTGAGAGATTGTTTTGTGGCCACCGAACACATTTATTCATTATATGCTGATGTTTCAAATATGGTTGATTGACCTTTGAAAACAATTCTTCTTTTATCAGATTCTGGATCCATTTCTGTACTCATTTTAAAACTGCTTTGGTTGTTTGTACAAAAGATGGATAAATGGATGCAGCTTATTAAAACATCAATATTTTTTAAAATCTATTTGAAAGAAAATATACTTTTGGAAGCAAATAAATATATATAAAAATACTATATTGTAAGATTTGTCAAACATGTTTAATGAAAGCATTATAAATAAAATTATATGCCCTGATTCTATTTGATGCCTTTTGCTAGTATCTCTGGTAGTTTCCTTTTTCAAGGGAATTTCAGAAGTGATGATTAATTGAAAAGAAAGATTTAATAAAAGTAATCAGTTAAATAATACAGTAAAAATATTTGCTACAAGAAATATTTGCTACAAGCAAAAATATTTGCTACCTTTCACTAGATTAGCTTATTAAATATTACTTTTTTGTGAAATAACAACCATCTACCTACTTATTGCTGTATTCGTGTTGGTTTGTTTGCTTTATTTATTTATAAAACCTTTAAACCCTCTTAATAATAAATTGGTGGTTCACAAAGAACAACAGCAAGAAGCCAAAGCAACAATAAATATTATATCAAAATTATATTACTATTATAATTATAAATCAATACATTTGTCACTAATTATTCCTGTCAGTCTGGAAGGTCTTCTGGAACAATCATGTTTTTGATAGTTTCTAAAAGGCAAGCTATTTATTCCACAGAAGGGGTGCTCCGCTTGGAGTTCTTGTCTTTGGGTCCCCTTCTGGTATATTTCTCAGTAGGTGGGGATCTTCAGTGGGCCTCTGCTCACTCCAGCTGGGCAGACAGAAAGTAGATTCATAGATACTTAGGCCCTGAGCCCTTTGGGGTTTTATATAACCAGCACATTGAACTATACTCAGAAACAAGTTGTTAGCTTATGCAATTACCACAGCAATAGTGTTACCTGACAGTAAGGAAACTGGGCCATAACCATGCAGATCACTGCATTTTTCATCATTTGAAGTTTCTGAATGTAGGTTAAAATTGTAATACTAGCCCCTCATAGCAGTTATCCCAATAAGCAAAGGGTGAAACAGAGCTGGACCTTGGGTCTCCTTTGTTTAACGACTGCAATGTCTAAACTCTATCATTAGCACCCCTAACTAAAAGAGAATTCAATCTCCACCCCACCCCTCCTGCAAACTCAAAGGACCGACATCTTGCTCTGCTGCTTTATGCAGACAGTGCCACCATCTTTTCACTTCCTTGGGTTACCTTTAGAAGTGTCTGGGTCTTGGTGACTTTTGTATGGAGGAAAAGCTCACAATTAACTACCCTAAAACCCAAAATCAAGATATTGTCAAGTGGAATTAGATGCCAAAAAGATTGCTGGCACACTAATAATAATCAGATTGAGCAAATTCTTGCCATTCAGTATCTTGGCATTGTATTCCAGGCCTCTGGAGCCTGGCAGAAACAAAGTTGTCTTTGACGAAGCTAATAGTAACAAGGCAATATTTGGCTGGGTTTTTTTTCCCACTCTAGGGGCAACAAGGATACAGTTTAAAGCGAAGCCTGATTTGCAGATGCTTTACAGTTCACAAGTCTGCATCTATAGTACTTTCAAATCCCTAGAGATTGTCCGCTCTCAAGTTTTTGTGGACTACTTTCAGATCCCATGTAGTGCCTTAAATGTTGTAGTTTGTGTGATATCAGGAATGGTTCTCCTTGAGGAAAGAGTACTCGTTTGTCACCTGTTTTTACTTATTAAACTTTTCCTTTACTAACTGTTCACTGACTGACCTTAGTTCTGACAACTCTGCTTCATAAAGGAAGGCAAACCTTTCTGAACAACTTGTGCTTCTGTGATCTCTATCCTCCCAGCTTCTCTTGTCTTTAGATTTAGAGAAATCCAGAGCATAAATTCTCCAGTAAGTTTATGATAACAGCCTGGCAGATGGACTTAAGGATTATGGGTCATTCTCACAGGCAAGACCCCACTTTTCCCTGTTAAGCATTTCTTCAGTCTTACATCTGTTTCACATCACAGGACATCTTGCCTAGTTCATTTCAACATATTTCCTGTAAGAATAGTGGAGAATAGATGCCAGAAAATCCTTGTAAAGAGACTCTGATCTTGTGATTTGACCTAAACCTGAAAACCTTGCCCTTTTTCGTGTCTTCTGTGGCACCACCCACTTTACCTTCTTAACATCCCTCATTGATAAAACTATCTCATTCACAGGTAGAGGTTGTATATCACCTCTGGCAGTATCAAAACTCACAGTGGTTAAATTTCTTATCTATTCCATTTCTCTTTTTAGGCTTTTCTTGTTTTAGTCTTTACTTGTATTATATTTTCATTGCATTCCATTGTCTTTTAATTCCCCTTTTTAACCTGATAGTCATTGACTGTATTTTATTTTATTACCAAATAAATCCAAACCAGTCCAAGACATGATTCTGTTTCTAGTTCAGATTGGTAACTGAATGATACGTCAGCTCTGACAAATAGTGCAACATCTTCAGTGCACAGGAAGGAAGAGAAAAAACCCAACCCTCATGTATGGGTAATGCACTTGAATAGTTCTGTTCTTGAATGGATGGTGTTACCTAGTTTGGGTAATGAAAGGTCTGCAAGAAAACAACCAAGCTCAAAGAGCACCAAACACCCTCTCATTTCAGCTCTGAGCTACAAATATTTGTCTTTTATTCTATTTATCTCTATCCTTCATCACCCAGCATAGGCTGTCTGAATTGTCTAACTCAGTGGTCACCAACTGGTGGGTCACAGCCCACTGGCGGTCTGTGAGAAAATTTTGATGGTCTGCAGAGAAATGTCACCCCCAGAGCACCCCACAAAGCAATTAATCCAGGCTGCACAGGAACACAAGTCTGCCCCGCCCACATGGCCCACGGGAGCCCTCCCCGCCCACTCATTCCTTACCTGGCAAACTTGCCTGCTAAGTTGTTATTTTTCCTCCCCCCACCCCGACCACCAGCTGTTCCGCTGTGCCGGGAAATTTAGACTAGCTAGAAAGCAGGAAATCGTTGGATTTCTTGCTTTCTAGCTAATCTTTAGATCTAGAGCCTCCCTTAGGACTGAAGGTTCTATTATTCAGTGCAGACTCAGATAGCCGATGGCAGAAACACAGATCTCTAAGTGAATCTGTGATTCTGTGAGCAACTCAATCTGCCTGCCTGCTTTGCCTGATTTTGGGTAAAAGTTGCTCTTTTTTAAATTAAAAAAATTCAATATTTACATAAATATTTATAATATTTACATACAAGCCAGTCACATGACCACCAAGCCACACCCACAAATTAGGCCATGCCCAAGAACCAGTTGTTAAG